TCCTTATAAGATAAGGGTGGTAAAGAGAAAGGGACTTAAATTAGGCCTAAAATGAATATCACATAATTTAAAATGACAATATATAATTTTTAATAATGAATTTAATTGACTCTTAATTACGATAAAATTAAGGTTTACGAAAATACAACTATTTTAAGATTTTACTAGTGTTAAAGTATAACAAAAATCAATGTTTGTAAAGCTTTTTGTGAAAAATAAGTTGTCAAGAAACTTGTATCAGTTTAATAGTTTATTATTAATTTTTCTTTTTTTTTACAAAACTTACTCTTCTAAGTTAGTACTAACCTTAAACTTACTAGTTTAGGTGTAGGTTATGTTTAGATTGATTTTTATTGTATTTCATTATAAAAGAATGAACGAAATTTCTGTAAATTAATAAGATAAAATGAATTTATGTAACAACTAGAAAAAAAATTATGTACTTCCATAAAAAAGCAAATTTGCAACAAAGAGAAAATTTCTAATAAAAAATAATGTATTTTATTCGCTTACTATTATATTTGTATCGTTTTATTACGCTGACCGTGAAACTGTTGCTAATTATAAACAACCCCTCGCTAACTACATTATGGCCCGACCTTAATAGCTCCCGTCCATAATAGATCAGAATGGCTTTAATCAATGCAGTAAGGGCCGCCCTTGTGTCTATTTAATGACAAATAAAATAGCCTTACTGACTACGTTACACGACTGCTCTTTCCCAGATAAGTGAAAAGGCAGCTTTTTTCAATGTTTATTAATTTAGTACAGAGTATCAAGATCGTATATTTTTAAATAAAAATTATTCACATACTACTGGATTCTCCATATGTATAAAGCGCGGTTCACTTGGACAGTACAGTTGGTCAATAGCGCTCAATAACTGGCGCCAGTCTATGCAATTTAATACTGGCTGACAAATGTCAAACTTTACTGGCAAAGTGTAAACCGCGAATAACAATTAAAGAAAATTGATTGCATAAATTATAAATTTAAAACATGAAGTATTTTGATTCTGATAGTTGAAATAATTTTTTAGTGTAGTATTTTTCAGACAATATTGTTTTTAAACTTTAATAACAGCTAACTTGCCTGTATAATCTTAAACAGTAGTTTCTGCCAAGATTGTGTCCGACAAAAAGATTTTCTAATCTCCAGCACATTTCATTTGTTACATTTCATAGCGGCTGCATTCCTGCGCTGATAGACGTCCCGATGTTATTAACTTCTGACGTAATAGATTGTTCTATTGTATTATTATATAGTTAAAAGAATCACACGCCTTCTAATATATTTAAGGTATTAGGAAATCCTTTTACTATATGTCATGTGGTGGAAGTTTAACATCGCGAGAATCATTGGTGTTATTTCTCATAGAAACATGTGATAAATAAACAACTTTGTAAAAAGATTTTACGCTAGTTAATTACAGTTAGTAATGTGTTACGTTTAGGAATGTAAGATATTCATGAAGGTCGAAGACATCATTTTTCATTCAAATACAATTACGGCACACGTTGACAGAAGCAAAAGTTTTCTCACGTGACGAGTTCCCAAGGTTTAACTTTTTCAATAACTTAAAATGCTCATAAACCTTTCAAAAGGAAAACTTTATATTCAATTAAAATCAAAAATAGAAAATGGACGCATTTATTTATATTTTCGATTTATAATAAAATAGTTTTAGATAAATCAAACGAAAAAGAACAAAATAGTTTTCTAACATTTAATGTGACATAATAATTATTTGTTGGAAATTTTGTGTAACATTTAAAAAGCATAAGTTGAAAAATAGGAGGGAAATGATTTAATCAACAGCGAGTCGGTCCCACATTTCATGTTGATTGTACAAATGGACCCCTCCACCACCTAATGTATAATTTGTCTACGTCGTATTCCATGTTCCGGCGCTTTGTTACCGTCATATGTATACATACGCTTTTTGTTTTGTAAATATTTGTGTAATATACAAGTATATTACTATTGTATTCAGTAAGTAAATTGTATCAACATGTACAAACATCTAATTTGATAAGGAAAATAACTAATTATAATCTTAATTATTATACATGAACATTGAAAATAATTTCAGTATTTAAATCTATTTTTAAAGTTCTAAGTATCTACATTAAGGGCCTGTCCCACTACTGACTGATAGAGGCTCAGATAGGTTAAAAATTACGTCACTGTCAGAAATGGTAACAAAATCCGATATTTCCATCACATATTTTATACGATTGTTATCAGACAATTTACAAAATGATGGAGTGACCCCTAATAAAGTAAAATCTACAATATTTTAAGTATAAAATATTTTTCTACTTTGTATAAAAATATTTGGATAAAAAGTTTATGACAGTGTCACCTATGCGTAGTAAAGTTTAGTTAGATAAGTTCCGACGTTGATAAATCGCTTGTTAGCTAACGGTACGATGCTATCAGTTTACAAGTTACAGCGCCGACTTTGAGCTTCCTACCCTTTTTACTGTCGAATTTTATAAATCCTTGTAACATATTGAGATAAAAGAATGTATGAAAAACCTACTTAAGATAAAATGACGGAAAAGTGCAAAAAAAGTATTTTACGGGTTGTACTTGAAGAGTCCACATATTTCATTAATTAATTTCAAACCATATTGATGGGAATGGCTTTGTGGAGGGAGCCCTACTTTTTCTTTCATTCCTCGATGATCTGGTGGCGTTAAGATTACTATGTGTACAGTTTATCTATAATATACAGTAATGTTAATAAAAAATGTAATAAAAAACATGTTAAAAGAAGCATGTTAATATTTTATTGAAGAGAACTTTTAATAAAGTAACTTTGACACTAACAAGATTAGTCGTTTGATTCCAGTTCAGTGAGCAATTGCTCGAGTTCGCTTTGCCCTTGTTAACTATGAAAGTTACAAGTGTCAACAAAACACGTCTCATGTCACACTACGGTATCTAATACTAGTGGAGATACGAATTTGTTGAGATTTAATGTTGTGTATTATCCTATTTCACAAAATAAAAACAATTGTTTGCTTCCAATTAGAAGATTTTTTTTTATGAAATATGGTGGCAAACGAGTAAGCGGTCACCAGAATCCGCCGAAATGATGAAGCGCTCGCTGTCCAGACAACCGTAATTGCAGAAGTGTTACCTACCCTTAATTGAAAGAAGAGGAGACGCACATACACAGGATATTTTCCTTTCCTGTGCATCTCCTCCACTGTCAAATCCACTTTTCCTTCCTATCCTCTTAAGAAGAGAATGAAAGGAATAGGGAATAAACTAGGCCTTTACAATTTATTATTCAATGTCTAACAAAAATGATTTAAACTGTCATTTATCTATACTTCATGTATAAAAGTTTTCGAAATCAAATTTTGAAATTAACAGTAAATCCTAAAAACCCTGCTATAATCGTCAAAGGTTAGTTATTACCTAAACTTACCTTTATCATCGATCCTAAGTTTCTTAAGACGGCTTAAAGGGAAACTACAAATTGTTAGAGGCCGAATTTACATTTGACCTCTTTTTGTCAGACTAAACTCGGGTCCATAATGAAATGGCGGACAAACCAGACCGCCATCTGAATTGTAAATGTTATTATTTCCGTACCGTCTTCCTTTACTAAAGTTTTACTGTCCGCTCTCTTAAATCTTTTGGAACTAAGCTCCAGTGTACCTATAATGTCATGATTTAAAACTTAGAACACAAAGGGAATTTTAAATAAAAAGTTAAGATTTTTAATTTCATCATCAGCCTAGGACTGCTCACTGCTGGACATAGGCTTTCCCCAAAGCCTTTTACAAAATTTAATTTAACAGTCAAAAATTAAAGAATTATCAAAATAACCATTGGAAAAAATAAGAATGTAACTTATCAAGTGACGGAAAAACTCTGTTCAAACTTATCAATATTGGACTAAATATTGACTATACAACCGACATTATTATCCGCAGCACTATTATCCCAATTTCTTATATCACTTTGTTAATCACATTATTATTAAATTAGCACAACTTTCAAACTAATACAATTAATTAGCAATTATTATTAAAAAGTAAGCAATAATTTTATCATATAACAATTTTGAACAACATAAACGAAACAAAAACATTTTAATTGCTCATGTAAATTTGTCAACCTTATTTCGTGACCCATAATTGACACAACACACCTGTGTCCTACTTCCAAAAGTTTCAATTGCCAACTAGTTTGTATACGATCGATTCGTACAAATAATTATCGTTAATGAAAAATTGGGCATTATTTTGTTGCAACATTCTTTCCACTGTAGAAAACCTTTCAATGTGAAATTACTATTAAAATATTTTAAATGTATAATTATTAAAAACTAGTATCCCTTTTTAAACTACCATAATAAACTTTATTATTCAGTTAAACAATTTACATAATGTTACGTCATCATTTTATGTATCTAACACAAAATTATAAAGAAAAAGTAAGTGTATTATCATCACAGTTAATTCTAATTAAAGTTCTAAAGAGTGTCGCGTCCCATCTGCTAATTAATGTAAGGAGATTTGTCACCTAGGCGCCCGTTGCCTCCCTACTTATTTGAAATTATTTACGCAATGATTTGAATAAAGCTTAGCAGGATTTTTATACAAAAGTAGAGAATTTTTAGACTAATTAAACTAAGAACTAAGGTAATTATTTAAACAAAAGTTATTCACAATACTTCTTATAACTTTTATAAGTAACATCTCGAAATTTGGCATATAGTATGAAATTTTGAACTCTTGCTTGTATTTTAATAGATTCTAAAACATGCCAATATTATAATTAAAGTTCGATCTGTCTTACTGTATTTCTTACATTATTGCAATTGCGTTTAAACAAAGCTCTACGTGGCATTGTTGTGAGGTATCAGTCAGTGAGTCCGCAACCGCGCTACGAGAGGCACGTCTACGCCGTAGCCAGCCGCTACGAAAGTAAACAAATGTGACGCGATCGCTTCGAAATTAATTTTATATTATCAAGGAAAAGGAAAAGCTATTAACAAGGTATATTGTAAAACGTTTAGCATTATTAACAATGTAATGAAGTATATTCTAAAATATTCTATAGAAAAATACTTTATAAAATAAATGTTTTTTTTTTTTCATTTGTACACCATTGAGAGATTTTCTAAATTTGATAAGTGCTGTTAATAAAAGAATATTTTTATCATTACTTCCTTAGGATTTAGATAATTTTAACAATTTTTAAACAAAGTATCAAATTTTGATTTTATCATATTTCATAAGAACCAGTTAATGGGGTTTTGATTTACAAGAATTAAAGGTAAGATGTTATATGTGATTCATATAATTTATTAGATGAAAGCGTGGACAGCACACGAGCAGGACACATCTCTATCGTGCTGTCGAACGTTACATGTGAAGCATGCTGCGTATGCTAGTGCTCTCTACACATTGGTAAGTTACTGCATTTATATTATGCTTAAAATTAAACTTCTGACACTTTTTATAGTAATTTACTATTTGAATAACGCGTTGCAATGTTCCTTAAAAAAATCTATAAAAGAACATACTACCAAATAGGATTCCAATTACTTATGAAGGGGAAATAATATTCCTCTTTGACAACTAGTTAGCTCACAACAAAAAAAAATATTTTTACCTAACTGGTAAGGTAATTTAGTTGGGAAAACGGAACAAGACAAAATTTATTAGATACCTAATAAGTTGTACTATTACTCTGAGTTAAACTCCAACTTTTAATAAGCTTAGTCTTTAGTAGACACGTCACGTAATACTATTTTAACATCTTCAATATTAATGCATCTACGAATGTTTAATAATAAATAAATAAATTCATTTCTAAAACTATCCAGTTAAATAAATTTTAAACTTAACATTTCACGCTGAAATTGTTCCACTTTGAACAATTACAACTCCGGGATTTCTATTATTACAGCAAAGTGCATTCTGCACTTACTTTAAGTTACAAATTTCAAACTTCAAGTAAAGTTTGAAGTCGCGAACTGAATACAGCGAGACGCAGAGATGGCAATTCAAGCCGAAACTACGAGAGCTTGAGCTTTGCCTAAGTTAACCTCTAACTTTATACTCTCTCGAGTCAAAACTTCAATGTAATTTGTAATTATTAATGACTTATTCAAAGTTTCTTTTGATAAACAAAAACTTTGAAAGTCAGACAAAAACAAACATTTAACAAATAACTTGAAAATCAAATGAGAACTTAAATTTTAATTATTTGTAGATTTTAAAAAACTTTTACAAAGACATAACTAATTTGTGTAAAGTAAAGACAAATTATAAGTTTATCTTTCATATGAGTGGTAATAAAATATGAATGCGTCTTTTTAACTAATTGCTGAGCAAATGACCTTGAAAAGAAAGAACGTTAGATCGGCTATTACCGTGCTTTTACTGCGGTAATGTTAAAGTCACACACTTAAAGCGTAAACACAAACTTTTTTGTTGCCTAAGATCTCAGCAATTACAGCATATTTTTGAATAATTCTTTTATTAATATAAAACCATACACTTACGTCAGGCTTTAGGCTATATATTTTCATGCCATTAAACTTAAAGAGTAAATATTTTGATAAAAACCATAATGTGGGAAAGAGACCAAACGATACGACCTGCCAACATCAAGAAGCAAGATTACCGAGATTTGTTATTTTGACATTTGCAATTGATAATTTTTCAAATGTAAACAATAAAGTAAAAAATTTCATAATTTCATGCGGATGAAGCCGCACGGGAACTGCTAGTGTATAATATTAAAATATGTATTAAAACGTTATCTTAATATTAATTAGAATACTGTTTAGTTGTTTAGTTAATTTTTTAGTTTATAATAATGTCTCACGTTTAAGTAATTACAAATCTTTAATGCTGGGTTTCTGAAGCTACCATTTATGTTGTCATTACCTATTTATTCATTGGTGTTAGGTTGACGTATATTTCAACAGAGTAAAACTCAAGTTAGATAGTTCGGAAACGCATTTCATGAAGTTATCGTATCAAAAACACTCATGAATGCTTAAACGTACCTAGGAAACCAACCATTAATCTGATTTTTCTGTGTCTTTATGGTGAATTGAGAATTGTATTCTTTGAAAGCGTATTTTTTATTTGTCACTTTTCATTCTGATTCAGGTCGCTTGAATTTATATCGTTGAAGTGAGAGCACTCACATGGTAGTGCACTTAAAATCTGTCCACGTTCTTTTTCCCGGATTATCTTTGCGACTCTTATATTGCTTTTATTTTTATGTTTTGATGATGAATTGTTTATAATTGTAGTTCACATTTCTTCTAAATCTGTTATTGAAAAAGTGTTTATAAGTATTTTAAGTTTAAAATAACTTTAAAAAAATATGTTTTAAATCAAAGAAAAATTAACTCGTTTCAATTTTAATATAATTTCGCAGGCGATAGCAAACGTTACGGATCCTGGATGCAAGATGTAATTACTGTAAGATGTAATTAATAATAGTTCTTATGAGATAATATTAACAGGGTTTATTATTGCAGAATATATCTATACTAGTGGTGCTGTTGTACAGCTGGAGAATCGGCGTCAACGCGAAGAGGTACAAGGAACTAGACGATGTTTATTACGGTTAGAACTCACTTTATACTTACCGAGTTTTGAACAGTCTTAACACATGTTAAACATTTTCATCTATCTTTTTAAAATAAGAATAAATGAGTGGAAATAAACCGTGCAATCACTACTTTATTCCAGTTCATTTATATTTTTATTTCAAATAAAATATCTTTGGATTATTAACAAAATAGCTATCGTTTTATTTTATCTACTTTTAAAATATCGCTTTAAAAAGAACCACAAAACGAGAACTTTTATTGATGCTCAGCCTTTACAAGACAGGGGCGTATTTATTATTCCGTTGGGATGAAATTAATTGAGTCTTGTTGTGGCGCGTCAATCAATCCGCTGTCAAATATAATAATTGAGTTGCTCGAGGGTATACAAATTTCCCTTTCTTCGACAGCTATTTTTGCAGATAAGAAAAATTTACAGTTTAAAAATAACAAGAACACAGTCTTAATTTAACTAAGGCTTTTTTGTTGGATAACTCTTTTATTGTGCATAAAGATATATGAAGACTAATAATTAATAGTAATTATTGTTTCAGGTGTACAGATAGCCTATTTCGCAATCATAGGAACACAGATGTTAATGATTCTATTAAGCATCTTTCTATTTTATGGAATCTACAAAGTAAGTAATTTCTAGGTTATTTTGCCATCCAAGAGAATTGTCTATAATAGTCTATAGCTTGGTATTAATTCAATTGCTTCTCTCTTTAGTTACAATCAACTTACGTTAGACTCCACACAACTGGTTCAATAATAGAATGACATTTTACAGTGGTAGTGCCCGCTTTAACATCGTAGCACGAATGGGCCGGCACGCCCGGTGTAATACCACGACCACACAGAAGATAGGCGTGAAATGGAAGCAATTCCGTGTTTCGTCTGATGAGTGTGGTGCCGGAGGCCTAATTTTAGTCCCTTTCTCTTTACCACCCTTTTCTCATAAGAAGAGGATGGGAAGAGGAAGTGGATTTGACAGAGGAGGAGATGCATAGGAAGGGGAGATATCCTCTTTATGTGCATCTCCTCCTCTATCGGATAAGTATAGGCAACGCATCTGCAATTACGGATGTCTATGGGCAGCGGTCGCTTCGCCATTTTGGCGGATTCTGGTGTCCGCTTGCTCGTTTGCCACCTTTTGTTATAAAAAAAAAATAAACTCCACATTTGACATTTCCCTTTACCCAATAGTTAAAATAATCACGTAAATTTTATTATTTTATTAAGCATTAATAACAAAAGTTCAATATAAAGAATGTATTAATATTATTCAAATAATGTTTCGATACCAAAGCTCGTAAACATCTGTGCCATCTTCGATAAAGATTTATGAGTATTATACGTCGGTATACTTGGGCTGAGATGAAATGCCTTATTTCCAGTAATTGGCTCTCGACTGTACACATCGTATGTTACAATCCGCTTGTTTATCGATAATTGCAGCTACAAATGATTATAATTTATACTACGAAAGTACTTCTTGGGAATTCTGTTATTTTTATTTTTATTTATTTATTTATACACTTAAAACAAATTTGATTGTCAATTTCAATATTTACGTAAGATACTCTATTAAAATAAAGGTTAATAGAGTTACGTAATAAATGTTACTTTTTTTTAGGAAAATGTTGCGTTCTTAGTACCGTGGGTGGTGGGTTGTATGACATTTATGGCACTGGAGTCGATGGCAATGGTATACTCTAATATTCTTAGAGATCATGTTAATAAGGTAAGTGATAACTTGTAATTAGTTTAGTTTTTAATAGATTAATAATAAAATTAAAATTAAATGAATGTATTACATATTAAAAATACCACCTTCAAACTAATGTAATACGATTAACAAAGTACTCACGAACTTGTCTTTTCATCTAACGGCAGTCAAACATTGACTCCTCGTATTTACCAACCTTAACAATAACATTGCCAAAAGCTAAATCAACAGTTCGTGTCTGCCATGTCGCTGTTAAATCAACACGTTTCCACAAACGAACGGAAACCATTCGCTGGTACAATATCTGTTTTATGCAACCACAAAATCCTTGTCACAAAATTTCTGCAATTAACAAAGAACTGGAATTAATAATCTCTATTAATATTATGAAGAGGAAAGATTTGTATTTTTGTATGTATAACTCAAAAACTAATTCGCCGATTTCAAAAATTCTTTTATCATTAGAAAGGTCATTTTTCTGTGAGTAACATAGGCTTTTTTTATTATTATTTTAATTTCACGCGGGCGAAGTCGCGAGCAACAACTAGTAACTAATAAAAGTATTGATTATTTTTAACTGTGGATCTCGTAAGCACGCTACACATGCTTAGTTTCATCTGACAGTTTTATCTGAACAACTTATCGAACTGAACAGTTCCCAGTTTTATTAGATTTATCTGAACGATTCAACTGTCAGATAAAACTGTCATCCCCTTGATTGTACTAATAACCTAAGCGACTGAACGGATATTGATGAAATTTGGTATTGATATAGAGCATAGTCTGGAAGAACACATAGGCTACTCACTTTTGTTTTTTTTTAATCCCACGCGGACGGAGTCGTGAGCGAAAGCAAGTTTCTTTATAAATGTAGAGAAAACAATATCTGCCAATACAAGTATCACAGGCAAAGGAATTTCAATGTAATTAGTGACAAAACAACAACGATAAAGTAAACTGGATTTGATACACTTTAAATAATGTGAATAGTTTACTACAAAATAAAGTTTAATAAAGTGATCTATTTGATTCAAATGAAATCAAAGCACTTGCAATATTTTTAAAGTGGTCTGACTGAAAATACAACTGCTATCCACTTTCAATAAAGTTGTAAGGGCCCTCGAGCTGTTTTATTAAAATAGTAACAACGATAACGGGACTTTCGTATGGCTTTTAACGTAGTTAGCATGGTAAGGCTTTTAAAGACGAAAGGACATCTGAATAGCATATTTTACACACTCATGTTAATTTTTCTTAATACTCTACTTCTTTTAATATTATTGAAATTAGAAATATAAATAAATAAGCTTTCGACCGCGACTCCGTCCGCGTAGAGTAAAAAAAAAAACAAAGTAAGCGTCCTATGTGTTCTAGAATATCCTATATCTATACCAAATTTCATAGAAATCTGTTCAGCCGTTAAGGCTACAAAATCTAACAAACATCTATAAAATCATAATGTTAGTATGATTGAATTATCGTTAACCAACATGCTATACACAATTCAAAGTTTATTACATCGTTTGAAAACATGTTTTTTGTTAAATTACTACATATCTTTACCTTGAAATGTTGTTCATTGAACTAAGAAATAATTGTTCCACCTTGAACCTTACAAGTGCCTCCTTGAACAATAATAAAGTTCCGTAATATCAGTACAAAGCGGGCGTTGAACGTAAAATCGATAAATTAATTTCAATACGTAAGAGTGAAACATTTTTATATGATTTATTTTTTTCAGCAATTCGACGCCATGTGTAAGGCCGAGATATCCTTCTTAATACCACGAATTCTATTTAATGTAAGTAGTTTTTTTTTTTTATATAATTTATGGTGGCAAACGAGCAAGTGTCCACCTAATTCCACCGAAATGAAAAGCGACCGCTGCCCCCAAACATCCGCAATTGCAGATGCGCTGCCTACCCTTAACTGACGGAGGAGGAGATGCACATAAAGAGGACATTTCCTCTTCCTATGCGTCTCCTCACCGTCAAATACACTTTTCCTTCCCATCCTTTCCTCTTATGAAAAGGGTGGAAAGGGAAAGAGACTAAAATTAGGCCTCCGGCACCACACTCATCAGACGAAACGCGGAATTGCTTCCACTTCACGCCTGTTTTCTGTGTGGTCGTGGTATTGCACCGGGCGAGCCGGCCCATTCGTGCGAAGATGTTAAAGCGGGCTCTACCACTGTTATAGTTTTAGACAACTTATTTAATTGAAACTGTCGCTTTAAACTCAGAGCAACACTTCTCGTCCAGACCCAGGTTGCGCGCCAATCTATCCATACTTCTAGTGACATTGACAGCTGTCAGCTAGGGACGTGACGTTTATGCCGCTAATCTAGAGTTGCGCCAATTCTATAGCACGGTACTAATTTTATTCCTAACAGTAATATTGTTTACGTTACATAATTCGCTTAATTACACGGAATAACAGTTGAAGAATACATATTATAAATGACCCCATTAAAAATAATTGAGAAATTATCTCCTTCATTGTAGAGTCGGCACAACAGATTTCCATCTGCCAAATCAATCATACGTTATTTCATGTCACTCCCTTTTTAATACTGACACCCTTCACGCAATCCATCCATCTCTCTTAAACCTGTTCCTACCGATATACGCTAACAATCATCTTTAAACATTTTATTGTCATATGCCATTTATCAAAAACTTGATCGTAACCCAGAAAGAAGCAGACCAGAGCATTGGGCTCGATTTTGACCTACCATCTTCTACATCTATACATGGACGTCGATTTCTGGTGCGCTTAACCCCGCTCTTCTTGTGTATTTCATCAATCGACGACATAAATCTGCCTGAGAGAGCCCCGACTAACACTGTCACTCAATTTTGTATTATAAATTTCCTTTGTTATTCATGCGTCATTTCAACATGTCGTAAAGACAATGCTAACCTTTTGCTATTTTACAGTGTTTATGCATATGGTGCGTGCTAAGAATGTACCATCTCTTGCGAGCAGGAGTGACTTGGAAAGGTTCAGCGCCGATAGAACTGTGACTATTACCACCCGGCGTTAGCTTACACTCAAAGTCTATAGACTCTACTGAAAGACGAGATTCCGTCGCGTGTGAGTCGACTCTATTACTCGGGGGGATCGAAAGTGATACTGATGCGAGTTTGCATTCCCTATGACGATATATTGAGTTTTTAGTTCGGTATAGTTAACTTTAAAATACTAATATTTATGCTGTATATTTGTTTGGAAACCATTTGTGTAATTAATAAAGATAACATATATTTTTGCATCATTTTATAGGTCGTTTTTATATGTGAAGTTTAACTTTCTTTTTTATTTGAAAAATTGCTTCGATACAATTGTCTCCGGTGTTTTATATGAACTAGAATTCAAACACAATTTATTATATGTGTAAATATATAATATTAACGACAATAAAACTTATAAAATCCGTAACAGTAATCTAGTAATCTGTATCTCATATTTTATTTAATCATATTTTAAAATCGAAAAAAAACTAGCACTTTAAAAAAATAAAACCATTTTTTTTCATGGAATAATTATTAATTGGAATAACTATTTAGAAACTTTATGGAATGTGAAACTTTTCTCTTAAATATCTGATGTTTAGGCATTGAATTAATTTTCATTAGATTTGGTTATGTAGAATAAATTTCAATTAATATACAAAAGCAATTTCTATCCTGTAAATATTAAAAATAATATTCCTTGCTGTAAATATTAAGTTATATAAAGTGATATTCATACAGTACATAAGAAAGTAGTAAAAAAATATGGAATTGTTAAAATTGTTATCAATAGGTGGAATGAAAATGATAAACTTGTAAATAATGATTTCCAATGTAACATTGATGAATAAATTTTATGAGATAAATGTGTTTTTTATTGAAAAAATTGATTACTTCATTTATTTATATTTCTTAAAATTACATACATCCATGTATATAAGAGTAGTACCAAAAATAATTTACATATAAAGCACGTAAACCGGTTTTTTTTCAGTACACGCGTGACGTCACTTTACGTGCCACATGAGGCTATAAAATAAGTCTGCAGATCTTTAATGTGTCTGTCAACCCAATTCTTTATTGCGCTTAACGGTACGTTAAAAGCTTTTTACACATTTTTTAAGAAAACATTCTGAGTTTTTTCTTCAGAGATTTTGTTCGTATACAATATCTTAAAATTAAGTGCTACAAGCTTTATTTTCATTTTTATTATATGTAAAATAAAAATTGCTTTGAAAATAAAAGATGCATCTTTTTACATAACGACCGTATTTTTCCTCCTCTAAGCGTAGTGTCATAAAACTTTAATAAATTTACATACATTTCAAAACTTCTTTTCAAGGAAAAAGAAATCTTTGTTTTATTTGAGTCTGGAACACTAATGTAATCATTTGAAGTTTTTTAATAAAACTTACTCTGTTCAGGTGACCTTTTATTATCTGATTTACTTCACTTTATTGACTAAGTTTTCGCATATAATAATATTTACGATTATAATTCTCGATATTTTTTCTAACTCGGTACGAGTATTATAAAAATTTTATTTTATTGTTTACATTTGTCAAATTCTCAATTGCAAATTTCAAACTAACGCCATCATAACGTTGCTTCCTTGATGTTGGCAGCTTGTAGTTTATAGTCCCTTACCCACATGAAGGTTTTTTTCCAAGCTATTTGCACCTAAGTTTGATAGCTTGAAAATATCTAGCCTTAAGCGTGTCGTAAGTGTCCCTACAATTTGTATTAACTTTCTATTAAAGAAAGAATTACTCAAAAATATGCTGTGATTGCTGACATCCTACGCCTTAGAGTAAGTGTGGGGTTACGCTTCATAATATTAGTACTCGTAAAGAAGTATAGATCTTTACACTACGCTTTAAAACTATCGAAATTGTACAGTGTACGAGAGGAATTAAGATTTCATGTTTATTTATTCGTATTTCCATTTTGTTGCCGCAATCAAAAATAAAAATAACATATGTTTCTGCGATCTCAACGCTAACATCGTACCACAAAAGATCTGTGAGCGGGATTCCCTTTGAATAGAAGCGTTTTCACGTTTCCGCGGTAAAACTATTTACACAAGGAAAATATTTCGTCTATTTAACAACGTTTGAAAAGCGGCCAAAAGTACTGAAAGTGATAAACACGTATTCACTACAATTTCACGGCATAATATGCAGTTGTTCGAAGTACTTTTTATGCCGTGTATAAGTATATAGTAGTAGTATATCTTCATATAGGCTAAGATCCAAAGTGTTTTCCTACCCTAATCAGATTTCATGAAAGAGCACATTTTTTAAACATGTTTTAACCTGGTGCCTAAACCTAGCCTGGATTAGGTACTAGGTAAATTATTACTATCCTCGTTTTTTAAGATGTTAAAAGAATTGACAACCAGATTCTTTAGACATTTTGTTGCATATACAGAAAATAATATTTTATTGGTTATTATGTTACAAGTAAATATTTTAACAAAATGAAGACGTCAACTGCCCTATGCTATTGGAAAACGAGTAAATTTAAAGAATCTCAGTAGTGAAAAAGTGCGCAAAAGAAATTTTCTACAGAATGCAAGCTTCGAATGCGCTTGTTGGAACGTAAATGCAAATAACGTAGGGAGCTTTGAGTTTTTAGTAAACAAAGATTTCGCAACCGATGTTCTACTTATTTAAGCTCTACTTCCCCACGAAGGCCACAAAATCCAACAACTTCTTAGAATAAAAATATAAAAGACTCTAAATTGAATGCTAAGAAAGTTGTGTTGTACTATTCTATGACGATGCACTTATTAAGCTTATCTTCAAATTGCAATGTCCATTACTAACCTTGTAAATAAATATTTATTATAATAGCATAATTTTATCTTCCGAATCTACTATAATAGCTTTGAAAAACGAGAGCTTTTTTATTATGTTAAAGTAAAGGTAATCTCTATAAAACTTCCATCCACTTTCGCATTCATAATCTTTCAAATATTATAAAAGTGAACGTTTTGATAGATAGATGTTTGTTAGAGTTTGTAGCTTAAACTTTTGAACGGCGTAGAGGATAGTCTTAAAGAATACATAGGCTAATTACTTATTTTTTAATTCAACACAGGCAGAGATGCGGGCGAAAGCTAGTATTAGTAGTATATGCCTAATCATCTAATCAAATAGCCTATTGATTCTAGTTATACCCATTACCTCGTTGTTGGTAAGTGACATCTAAATGTCAAGGGCGGAATTTTTTATCATCCAATGGCACGGGACACGCAAACCCCTTTTACTGACATTGAAACTTTACGAATACATGTTATATCCCAGTTATTAACAAACTATTACTACGTAATTTTTAGGTTATAATATTTTAAAATTCGGGCCCTTTCAATATTTCTGATATCTTTTTTACTTGTCCATAGTCATCTCAATGAAAATATTTTCTTTTAATTTTTCAGAAGAAACTCTTGGTAGTTACGATTGTATTGTATTTGTTATTTTAAAATCATCCTTTTACTTTGAAAAAGCAAAATTTAATTTCTGCTCGCTTCTAACGTACACTTTATAAGCGCTATTAACTAAAGCAGTTTCAAGGAAATTTGCTATGAAAATAATTTTAAAGTTTCCGTCTATTCATGCCGCCCGTGTCGTTCATAGTTATAGGAGATCCTTCAAAGTTAATCTGATTTTATTTGAGATTATTAAAGTTATAAAATGATTTGTCTGAGTGAGAGTTATTTTATTTCTTAGATAACGATAAAATAGGAATTTAGGACACGTTTTTTGTTTTACTTCACGTTGAATTACTGCATATTGAAAAAAATTATATACTCCAATGAATAATCATAAATTTAAAAGTTATTCTTGCAATTAAACTTCGTAATGCTATAACAATATTAAATTTACCTTCTGCAATTCACGAGTCCGACAAAACCACAAAACATGTTCTGAATAATTTACTTTTACAACCTTTGCTTTGTTATTCATTTGTTTAAAGAGAAACACGGCTCGTTGCCGCCTGCTGCTGCTTGCCTTTGTCATTTTAATAAGGAAACCTTTAATAACCTCAAACGTATTAAAATATAATTTGTAAAATAGGTTCTCATAAATCGGTTATTTTAACATATAATAAGATAACACTAAAAGATGACAAGATCAAGGGAGTGATGACTGAGATGACGGATGATAGAGTTATTTGGAGGACGAAACGGGAGTAGAATAAGATAGGGGATATGATGATGATGTTATCACTTAAATCCAGATTTTCTCCGTTATTTTTTTTTACAAAAAAATGCGTTTTAAATAAATCTAATCAACGTATGGCAAATTTTGCGTGTGAATTTTCAAGAACGTTAAGCGCTTACATTCATTTTCACGTTACATTTTTATATTTCAAATATTGCGTGTCGAGTGTAAATTAGACGAAGACTCTTAACTCCGAACTCTCGAAGAAAATCATTGAAATTAAAAAGATTTTATTAGATAGAGAAATGTGATATTTTCTTAGTGATATTTATTATCTAACAAGAAATTAAGATAGACTGAACAAAACATATACTATTTCCTTTGATAACATTTATTTTTTACATGTGTACAATTAGACCCCAACAGGAAAACAAACAGAATTACTCGAATAAACACCTGGTCACTGTCAGTAAATACAAATTGTGACGCTTCTATATTCAGGGAAATATAATTTTGTCGTTTATTTTACCAACAACATACAATTCTTGAGGTAAATTAGGTTATCTATCTATATCTATACTATTATAATAAAGCGTAAACATACACTTCTTTGTTGCCTAAGATGTCAGCAATAACAGAATGTTTTTGAATAATTCTTTTTTTAATAAAAATCCCTACACTTGCTTCACGCTTTAGGCGATACATTTTAAGGCCATTAAACTTAGGGGGTAAATATTTTGGATAAAAACCCTAATGTGGGAAAGAGATCATAAGTTGCTGCCAACATCAAAGAGGCAAGGTTGTTATCATGTCATGTCATTATGAAATTTGTAATTGATAATTTGACAGAAGTAAAAATAAAATGAAATTTTCATAATTTCATACGGATGAAGTCGCACGGGGACAGGTAGTAGTTAATAAAATATTACCGTTACATACCTTTCGGTTTGAACGTAAAAAGCTTTAAATATACAAGAAATGTGCATTTGATTTAATCGCGCATTTAACAAAATTGTCATCTCTACAGAAA